ACCTTTTAGACATCAATTCCTTATTCCTGTCCTGGGTTATATCTGTTGTGTCTGCGTAAGCTTTAATAGCATTCCCTTTCATTCTGGGTTTAGAAGTGAACATTTATAGTCATCTTACTTATACCATGCCACCCTGCCAGTGTTAGCAGAAGTCCATAGCAAGAAGTGGGCAATGTAGAGCCCAAAGGTAAGAATTGCTAACTGGATATTTAACCAGTTGAAAGAGAAGAGTTCTTTGAAGAGAGAAGGTATTAGTAAGGTGTTGCTGTGTAACAAACAACTCAAAAACTCAGTGGCTTAACAAAAAAGCATTTATTATTGCTTATGATGTGAGTCTATGGATCATTTGGTTGGTTCTGGTTTTGTCTATCTTCGTTTTTTGTCTGCAATCAGCTATGAATTATTGGATAGAGAGTTCTACCGATCTTGATTGGGGTATCCCGCATGTTGGGGCTCTGCTGGCTGTAGGCTGCCCTAGAACAGCCTTGGCTGGGATAATTCAGCTCTCCTCCAGGTGATCTTTTATCCTTCAATAGACTTCCTTGGGCTTGCTCACACATGGCAATGATAGGATTCCAAGAGAGAGAGCAAAAGCGCACAAGGCTCACAATTGGCACACCATCACTTCTATTTCATTCCACTGTCAAATCACATTATCGTACTAGCTCAGATTCAGGAGGTGAGGAATCAGATATCACCTCTTGGTGGGAGAAGTTTCAAATTCCACAAAGGTTGCACACAGTGAGGGGTTGATTCAGCAATGCAATTAATTTATGTGAGGCTGACCATTCTCTTAGGGGAGACTTGAAATGCTTTTAGGTAGTTTAGAAAATTGTCCTAGAGCTATAACCAGATTGAGCTACTTACTATTAGCAATCAAGGGGTATGTTTTGTTTGTTGTGTTTTGTGATCCAGGGAATAGAAAGGTCAAGCACACTCTAAAGATAAGGACTAGAGGTTTTATGAATGACAGTAGGTGGGGCCTACCATGCCATGCTCTCAAACTTGTATGCATAATATTGTACCATATTGTTGGTGTTAAAACTTGGAAATAAACCAAACAAAGGGGGAAGCCAGTGCTCAGGAGGTGCTCAGGGTGAGGCATTTCCTAAAGCGTGTTGTGTGGAACTGTGGTCTGCAAGGGTCTGTGGTCTAATCAGTGTGTGAAACACCGTGGTACAGTTAAATGACTTTCTTTCCTGCAGGACTGCTGTGAGCTTTTAATATACTGAGGACATCAGGGATCTCCAAGATGGGAAAACACCATATATACCATTTCCCAAAATTATTTGAGCGTGGAACTCTTCCATCATCTTTCAGGGCTTGTTTTCTATAGAATATGCTTTCAGAAATGTGATAACAATGATATGACAGTGATAAAAATATCGAGCACATACATGTGCCAAACACCATACCAATGCTTTATACATTCCATCTTGTCTTATTCACACAACTTTCTAAAACAAGCATGTGTTTTATCTCCATTATGCAGGTGAGGAAATTGAGGTTCACTGTAAGTTATTTAGCCTGTAAGTGGCCAAGTCAGAATCTCAGTCCAAAAAGGGACCATATCAATTACTTTACTGCAAACGTGGAGTTTTGAGTTTGCTCTCATACATGCAACCTGTGACCATTTATGTAGCTCTCACTGTATATCAATCACTTTTCACAAGAAGACTGTAATTATTGCTGTATTATTATAGTCAACCCAGGTCCTCATTGAATAGAATATCATAATTCAATGCAGTTCTGAGTTCCTTGCAGGATTTTAGAAATGGTGTGTATGGCACCAGACTCAGAAATGTTGAGTCACTTGCAGTACTGTGGTGTCTGTGCTTTACTCTGTGCATGTATAATGGCAAAGAAGCTCCTCAGCACTTTCCCCTACACTTCTACCTTGTTTAGGCTGCAACTGGAGAGGGATTAATTTATGCTAATTCCACACAACAAGCTAAAGCCCATTTATCACAAGTTTCCATTCCTCAGCAAAACACACACAAACACACCTAAGTATTGGGCACACTAAGATATGCAGCTGCTGTTGTGTGGAACGATAATAGGCCCGTTTATATTCAGGCACAGATCAGCAAGCAGAAGCCACCCACGGAACACAGAGGGCAGTGGTACTCAATCTCTCACCGCTGCTGCCTGCCTGCCTGCCTCTGAGAAGCGACTAAGTGATGCAGAGCTGGGGAGGGAGAGCAGAGAGCACACGTTTTAGAGCTCGGGATACAGAAGCTCATTTTCCCAAAATAACATGCTAATTACTTAACTATGTTAATGCTGCTTGTTTACGAATGAGGATTTGAGTGGGAATGATTTAGAATTGGAAGATTTAAGCTTGTGACGGGGAGAGAGAAGAGGAGGAGGGGAAGAGAGAGGAATAGAGTCCATTTGTGTGTGTGTGTTTGCTTTCTGTGTTCGTGAGAGCCTGGCCAAAGCAATCTCCTCTCTTTAGTTTTCCATTTGTTTCAAATACTAACCCTTTCAAGCATCCTTCTTGGTTGCTCCATAACACTGATAACTCTGCTTATTCTCAAAGAGCAGTCAGGTAGGAATTAAAAGTTTAGCTAATATAGCCTACCTACCTTTAACCCTCCTAACAGTCTATGGCTCCTCTCTGGGCCTGCATTTGTTCTCCGTCAAATTAAGGGCTTGCATTAGAAAATTACCTTTAAAATATCTTCCTGTTATCATTTCCTTAAGTGTAATAATGGTATTGTGATAATATCGAGAGAAAGAGAGAGACCTCATCTTTTAGAGTTACAGGTGAATTTATATGACAGCTGAGATTTGCTTCAAAATAAGCCAGTACTTGAGGGTTGTGGGGACTGGATGGAGGTGGGAATAAAATAATATTGTCTGTGAGTTATTGTTGTTGAAGCTGGGTGGCGGGTACATGAGGCTTCATTTCTCTGTGCACACATACCACCCATATGCGTATATGTATACAAATACGTGTCATCCAAGTTTGAGTATGTGAGCTATGATTCCAACTGGTCCTTTTAAAACTTAGTAATCTTTTAACTTGTGTCACTTGTTAATCTGCTTCTTGTGCTATAGTTTTAGCCCTAATCCGCATCCTCAGAAACATCTTTTTAAATTTCTGATATCTCCCACTGAAATTAGCCCAGGTTGAATATATAGAAAATGTGTATGTATGTGTGTGTGAGATGACCCGGGTTCAAGTATTAGTTCTTGCATTTACTAGTTCTGAATCCTTGGAATGACACTAATGAGAATTTCACTGTTTTTATCTCTTCAATGGAGATCGTAGCCCCTGCCTTCCATTTGTGAAAGTCAGTTGCGATAATATCTATGACAAATGGAAGGTCTTCTCCCCTTGATGACATCCTAACAGTTGTGGCATGAGTTCCAAAGTATTTCTGGACCCCTTTGCTGATGGAACGCTGTTTGCCTGTGTAAATGAAGGAGACCTTTCTTTTCTAATTTTGGGCTGAGAGCACCTTTGCCTTGGATGCTCCACTGCAGTGGAACTACACCCGTCTTCTCACACACACACTCACACACTCGCCCTTCACAGCTTAAGCACCGCTTAATTTACAGAGAGAGAATCAGAGGGATTGCTTAGTTTTCATGCTTCCTGAAAGCTGATTTGACTAAAACAACTAAGCCTGTTTTCTGAGAACCAGGGCTTGACTTTTGTTTTTCACCAAAACTATTTGGTATATGGAATATGCTTTCCAGCAGGGGTTACTGAGTGGCTGGGATGTGATCCTGCAATAACCAAAGCAGAAGCAGCCTCAAGTCTTGTCTGAGACCATCAGTATTACAGCCCCCTACTCCTGAACCTTTGTACCTGGGTGACCAGAATGTTGCCCTCTTGGTTCTCAACACAGAAAAGCCACAGAAAATGATGCTTAAAGGTCACCTGCATTTCTGGGTATGAGGCTTTGCTTAAATTGACGGATGGTAAAGGTCAGCATTCAGGCTTCTAAGGGGTACATGTGGCTTGTGTTTTATGCTTGAGCTATGCTATATTTGCAAAAGGTCAGTTTTCAAGAGAGTGAAAATTAATTGCAAACAAAGTCATTAAAGTACAACAGGTTTGACCGTGAAATGGAGGAGGGTTTGGAGGTGGAGACATTTGTTCCTCAGAGCTGCACTCTAAGGGCAGGCTCAGGGAGGGGGAATCTTTGATAGCTGCAAAGGCATCTATTTAGTCTGAGAGGAGCACTCACTGCCTCTGAGAGGCTGGGGCTTCCTGGCATGAGCTGTCAGGGCTCTGGGAAGTTGAAGAGACAACACTGGATTGCTCACCCCTGCTCCAGCCTCAGAGTGGCTGCCTTTGTAAAATATTCACTTAGCCATCAGTATCCTGTGTGCAAAAATTATAAGCATGCTCCATGACTCTCCCGTTCTTTCTCTCACCTGACAATTGCTGGGATAGGAGTGAGAGAGAGTAGATAATTCATAAAAATATTCTTTTGGGGGGTGTTTCTGGTTATTTGCATTGCATAGAGAGAAAAGTTTGCATTCAGAGTATAGGAAAATTTAATAATTATGTTATTGTAAATATTGGTTAAAAATAATAATATCAGCAACTGTAGCAATAAAAGCTAATACTTATGGAAGGCTTAATATGTGCCTGTCACTGTTATTAGTGCTCTACATACACGAAGTCATTTGATCCTCACAAAAACCCAATGAGATGTGTATTGTTCATCTCACCACGTGAGGCGCATTAACGTGAAATAACTTGCCCAGGATCACACAGCCAGCACATAGTAGAGCTGGCCTGGAATCCAAGCTGTCTGGCTCCAGGGTCTGTGCTTTGAATTGCTTCCCTGCACTTTTTGAACAGGCCAGCTGGAGCATTCTGGGAGCTGACACAGGCTCAGATGCATGCACATATGGATATATGTGCATCCCATGTGGTTTTCTGGGACTCACCATGCCTCTTGTGAACAGTGTAAGCCTCTTACAGAGTCACACCTGCCCGTATCTCTGCTCATGACCATACTTTTTTTGTCCCCTAGCTCCACTCGTGGACGTCACTCCAACCCACAGTGGATCTGCCATGCTGATGCTGCTATCAGTGGTGTTTGTGGGGCTGGCGGTGTTCGTCATCTACAAGTTTAAAAGGTACGTGTCCCTCCATCCACTTCTCCCCTCCCTCTTCCTTCTCCCTGACAGGTTCAGAAGCACGTGTTGCAGTGACATACGTCTCCTGGTCATAGCAGTGATGGTTTCTGTTAATGTTTTAGGAAGATCCCGGGGATTAATGTTTATGCCCAGATGCAGAATGAGAAAGAACGAGAGATGGTCAGTCGAGTCAGTCACACTGAAAGCAGGTCCCATATCCCTCAGACTGAACTAAGGAGGCCTGGCCAGCTGATAGATGAGAAGGTGGAATCCCAGCTCATAGGTAAATGATTCCCAGTAGCCATCAGCTGTCCAGCCAAGTAGTCAATGGCTGATTCTCTCTCTAACCCTTTTCTGGCTTGATGTAACCACTTTCTTCTGCTCTAACATCCCTGAGAGAAACAGCTAAGATGCCTCTTTCCCTGCTTCCTTCCATTGGAATAAGGAAAAAAAGCCTTCTTGCTCCTGTCTAGTTTTTTTCTCATGAGTTCATCTTTTTGCAAAAAGTTTTGCTAAAACATTGGCCTTCAAAATCTTCATGGGCAAAGAGCAAAGCATTTACTCTAACAATATACAAAAAGGAGGGGCCTCAGAGGCTGGATCTGTGGTCTGGAGGGCCGGGCAGGGTTTGAGGGACAGGTTATGTAATGACCAGAACAAGACATGGCAGCCTGACCTTGAGACAGCTCCAAGGATGGCAGATCACTCCAGAATACTCAGAGAGGAGAGACATCATGAGACTAGTAGAGAAGGGACAGACTCATCACCCTGGGATTTTTTTAAATCTAGCAGTAATCTAAAAACTATCCCCCGGGAAATATGGAACCTGAGAATTTTAAGGACAAGAAGCATAAAGCTTGCAGGACATCCCAGGAATGGGACATCCTGAGAGAGACCACTGGAGGGTTAGACTGTTACAGAGCAGAATGGCAGATCTCTTCCTCTTTTCGGCTGCCCCCTACCAGAAGTCTTAACATGGACTTCACATTTCAATAGAGCTCTCTGCCTGTGAAGTAAGCATGGGAATCCAACAGCTAGGTGTAGGGAGTCTCAAGTGAAATTGTCAAGTCCTACTATTTATTGCAGAGGAAATTTTCCAGGAAGTTAGACAAACCGGAGGAGACACTATTGTGATCCTGTCTTTTGGCATCAGGAGTTGAAGCTGTAAATGTTCCCAGGTTCCTGCATTGCTGACTATGATGCATAAATTATGATATAACCATTCAGGCTTCACTCTAACGGGATGTTGCCAGACCACCTAGAAGGCCTTATAAGATTTTTAATCTGTTACTTGGGGAAAAAATGAGTACCTAAATGGAAACATAACCCTCTCTTTAAATGGATATGGGAAAGTTCTGTGGCTGCATTAAGGGGAAATTTAAATGCAATAACTGGCTCGTATGGGAGGTAATAATAACAACTACAGCCACATCTGGTGTCCAATTTTCACAGTGTGCTTTCCTTTATTTGGGGAGACAGGGTGATAAATGCGTAATTGCTTTGGGTTAAAAAGAAAAAGTCTTTTCTGTCTTCAAGTCCAGAAAGCGTTCACCCTGTCTATTCACTTCTAAAGCTTCTAAGTGCATTTTTGTGGGTCATTTGGTTTTCAATCCCATTTCCACGGGGTACGAAGCACAGCCGCTGTTTACGTTATTAAAGTAGCAAGCCGTCCTTCTCCAGGAACGTCTCTCAGCACATTGCAAAGTCTCTGACACCTTTCCATTTCCAGTGTCATTAAATGAGTAAGTGTTACACGTTTTCTCTTAGGAGAGTAGCTTTACCCTCCCCTCCCTCCCCTTCTACTCAACCTGGTGACTCATCTCTCCGATTGCAAAGAGCAAGACACGCCACTCCACCTTCAACGCCAAAGCGGGGATCTGCTGGGGCACAATTTGCAATTTAAGGAAAACCCCCAAAGGCTACAGGCGACCTGCTGATCAGGAAAGAATTTCGCTCTTGTCAAGTGCATCATCCTTCATGACCACTAACTTTGTGTTTTTTTTCTTTCCTTTGTTGTTCTGTTTCCTATTTCGCCAGGAAGTATTTCCATAGTTGCTGAGAATCAAAGCACAAAAGAAATCCCTACCTATGTAAATGTTTGAATGGAGGACGCCAGTAAAAACAAAAACAAACAAAAAATAAAATAAAAACAGTCCAAATCCAAACAAACAAACAAACACTCACTGCATCGGGACTTTTTAATTCTTCAGACACAGACAACAAGGGTTTTTAGCTTTAAGCCTGTGCATGTGGACAATACCTTGAGAACAGGCTTGGAGGGCAGTGTACAGGTGCTGTATTTTACTGGAAAAACACTCCCCTCCCCCTTTCTTCTTCTCTCTCTTTTTTCTGATCGGTCGTGTTTGTAGAAAATTCATAACATATAAAAGCCAAGGAAATCTGCATGTATTTTTGGAAATATTCTTGGCTCTAGATTTAACAGCTATTTTAGCACTCCAGGCTGGTGGGTGGATTAGCCACCCCGGCCCCTTTCATAAGACACAAAGACATGCACAGGAGTCTGAAACCCTGAGCTGTTTCTCTGTTCCGCTTTTCTTATTGCCATTTTCCCTTCTCAGTTATCTTTCGTGGCCCTCGGGCCAGCAGTGGCCACAAGGCTGCTTTCTCCACTGTGTGCGGCCACAGGGACTAAGAAGCGACTTGAAGTTTCACATATGCAGGCAGAGTAGGGAAGAAAGGCAGGCAAGGGGCAAGCGTGTTGGAAGAGGACCTTTGTTTCCTGTTCACCCCTTCCCATCAGGGCTGCTTTCTCTGGCAGCTTTCCCCACTCCTGCCCCAAAGTAGGTAGAAAACAGAATCCCAGGTACCCATTGTTCTACTTTCCCATTGTTTGCTACCCATGTGTATTCATGATCTGTTGATGTCTTTGTATCTCTTCCTTCCAATCCCCAAGTTATCCTTCAACTGCTCCTACTTTTTGTCCCCAAACATGTTGCTAGATTCTGGGCATTAATCCTGTTGTTCCCTAAATACTGACCCAGCCCCTGCCAACCCTCCACCACCCACAGGTATCTGATCGCTCCATCAGTTTTGTCAGTTTTATACACTCCCAAGCATGCCAGCTTACATACACACTGACCAAACTGCATCCTGGCCTGCAGGGTTCCACTTCCTGTATCCTTTGTCTCCTCCTGTAGAACCTGCTTCTTCCAAATATCATCACTTTTCCCACCTAGAAACACGTAACGTGTGTGAAAGAGTTGAGACATGCAAAGCAATTCAAACCTGGCCCTGTACGTTACAAAAGAAAGCATCCAGATAGATAATGGTATTCTCATACCTTAACAAAAATCTCATGCGGTCAGATTCCAAAAGGTTCTTGTGAGAATTGTTTTGAATGTGTTACCCTGTGGCAGGGCAGTTTCCTCCTGTGATGGTTGCTCTTACTGAGTATTTCCTCTCTCACAGTAGAGTAAAAGTATTTGTAAAATAAAACGGATTTCAACCAGAAGAAGAAGCAGGCTAATGGATTTAATGTTTAGGAGTCTCAAAAAGTCTGAGAATACACAGAGGTCTTATCTTCACCAGGATGAGATTTCGATGATGTAGGATGGTCCCCGACATTTCACAGGTGTGCCCTCTGATCTCTGAGTATCACAGTATCAGCAAAAGACAAATCAATAAGCATAAAGCCGGGGGAGTTAGCTGACTAACTAAAACAGAGGGGCTCAAAGCATGAAGAAATCCCTGTTTTTCCAGGGCAGTCATGAAAGAAGGCCCAGAGAAGGGAAGGAGCAAAAGTATGTCCAGCAGAAGCCCTTGGAGTATTAGGAATTGGGCAAAGCCCGTCTAAAATCTAGGAAAAAGTGGTTTTGAAAAACTGCTCAGAGAGTGCAGCTTCCTTCTTGGCCATGTCCCCAAGCCACCAACAGAGTATAACAGGGCTCTGTGGTCGTGGGGGTGTCCTGAAGATTCTACAGATCCGTGCCCCTTTGTAGCTCAGCAAGGGAGGAGAAGCCAAGCGGCAGTCAGAAGTTAATCAAGCAGAAGGTTTGGTGGTTGAGGATGCCCGGTAGGAATCTGGGCAATGGATTATGCCTGAGGCAGCCATCTGTTTGTAGAACTCAATTGATCCCCAACCTGCCAGGCTTCCTATCCCATAGGAAACATCCTCATTGATCCTCTTCAGTTGGAGCCTCCCAAATTGAATCTGGAAGACAAAGTGTTTGGAAACCAAAAGAGGCTCACTCAAAGCAGCACAGGGAGTCCTCAGAGTTGCAGTTCGGTTGATTTTAATTGGAAAATTATGAAAAAATGGAATAACACTCAATCTAGCACAGTGCCTTGCCTAGAGGAGGTATCAAGAAAATGATTTGTTTAAAAATAAATGAATGAATACATGAGAAGACATAGGGAAGAATGGGCTTGTAAGTCCTAATTAAAAACAGAGGTGGACATGAGACGCCTGGCATTTTGGAAAGTGATCAACGATGGCCAGCTCTAGATTCTGCATCTCCAGGGTCCTCATGTGCCTCTCCTCAAAGCTCCCTCCCACCTGTAGGAGATTCCTGAGGCCAGGTGCTGCTCAGAGGGGCCCTCATTGTTCTCACAATCTAGCTCCATGCTTCTCAGGAGTATCAGCATCACCTCGGACTTGTTAGAAATGCAAATTTGGTGTACCCCTCTCCCCAGACCTACTTAATCAGAAACTCCAGGCGTGGAGCCCAGCAATCTGTTTTCACAAGCGCTTAAAGTGATTATGATGTCCACTAAAGTTTGAGAACCACTGAACTAGGCCATTCGAGCTCAATCCCAAAGAGAAGGTAGTAATGAGAGCCTGCAAATGGGAGGTATCCAAGTGCCTACCTACTCCCTAGCAGCAGGTGCAAACACAATAGGAGTTGGGTGGGCATGAGGCAGAGAGTGGGTGGGGAGAGATGGATGTGGAAGGTAAGATTCAGGGCAAACTAACAATCTGACATTGCCGCCTTTTCCAAAATCTCAGCAGGCAAACTGTGCGTGCTGTACCCTGAACTACCCAACCAACATTTTCTCCTTTGCCTTACTCCTAATTGGATTCACTGTCCAAAATGCAGAGGTTTGCTTTGCTTTTTTTCAGAAGTTCCAAACAGCAACTTTGAGAGCAGTGGGGTGCTTGGCAGCTGTTCTGTGTTTTCCAGGATTCCAACTGAGCATTGAAATCCCTCATTTGCCAACTTATTTTTATAGGAAGCCAATTAAAAAAAGAAAAAGTTTTCTTATAGTATCGGAACTATGTCTAATTTTAAAACAACTTTTCTGATGTATTTTTTGTTAAATACTATGTAGTGTAATGTATAATTGCTCTTGTTTATTGCTTTTACAATCATATTTATTAAACAGATAATGTCTCTAAAGTCTTGGGCTCAAGGTGTTTATTTTATCTCAAATCTTGGTATTCAGTCTTGATATAGAAGTAATGCATCTATAGGATTTCATTAAGGCTAATTATAGTAAGCACCACAGGCTTGAAGGGTTTGTTTTTTGGGGGTTTTTTTTGGTAACAAAGTAGAATATATTCTACTACTTGAATTCTACCTGCATTTCAGTTTACTATTTAATGTCTGTTACACTATTAAATTACTTTATTCTCTTTAAAAATCACTCCAAACTGGTTACTTTGGAATGAGTAACATGCTCATTATTGTTAGTTCAAAATTAGAAATTATTAATATGCAACAAACCCATTCAAATTTGTTCATAGTCTTGTAGTTACAAAGGACCAAACCTGCATGTACTGAACTGAAACTTGGGGAAAGGTGAAGGCTCACATGAAATCATAGAAATGCCTTTGAACCTGGAATTAGGAGAGTAGAGTTCTCTGGCTATGCCAGCTGTGTGACCTTGAACAACGCACTTTAACATATGTTAAATGCTGACATACGTTAGTGTGCTCATGCTTATAATTTGAAGGAAGAGGATACCTCCCAGCTTTGGTATTCTGAGTGGGTGAGTCATTCCTGAGAGTCCCAAATAACTGATTTAAACTTGGTGGAAAATAAAGAGGTGGACTGGATCCACATCTTTTCAGCCTTATGGCTTACCTAAGTAAGCGGTGTCTCTTATTGGGTAACGTTTTGCCCTTATATTTGGTTGAAACATCTGTGCAGACACAGAATCCTCCTTAGTCTTCCCAAAGACCTGCAAGGTTCAGAATGGCACTGCCTCAATAGCACAGTTTCAGCTTGCATGAGAATTCCTGTTGTTTTTAGGTGGCCTTTAACCCTTCCTTTCCCATGGCTGTATCTTCCTTCCTACCCTCCATTCTTTTCCAGGACAGAGCCTCTGCTGCTCTTCCCCATCAGGAGCCGTTTCTCTCCTGTGTCACTGAGGGTACAAGCAGTCAAACAAAAATCATCCCTAGAGATTTCCAACAGAGGGGATTTAATATGGGGAATTTGTTAAGTAATTGAAGAGCCAAGATGCCAAATAGGGGAAAGTGAGAGCACCCCAAGATTAGCATCAATAGGAAGCCCCTCCCTTCCCTGGGCTGCAAGGACACAGGGATTCCCAGAGCCCAGGACCCAGAACCACAGGTTGAAGCTGAGGTCATGGAGGAAATGTCTGGCGGTTACTGGCACCATAGAAGAGCCATGGAGGAGATGAGGCCATAGCTGGTGATGCTGCCCAAACAGAGGATACAGAGAGGGTGCTTGCCTTTTCCCTTGCTCTGGTCCTCCCATCTCTAGCCCATGCTTCCCATTGGCCAAACCCAGCCGCAAGGCTGTGGGCAGTGGAGCCTGGGAGACATAGTTTCCTGAAATACAAAGCAGAGCAGGAGAGGAGAAGGGAGTGGTCTTGAGAGAACACAGGCAGGCATAGCACCTCTTTCAAGTTCAGCCCACATCAAATCCAACAAATCTCCCCCAACCCAAAGGCACTTATGAAACTGTAGGTGCTCCTTGCTCTGTGACATTCTTTCACGTATTTCCCTTTAAACAACATGTATTTAAAACTTGGCTTTGTGTTTATGTCCGCCACTGTATGCCTTTCTCACCAAATTCTATGCTCATTTAGGAGAGGATCTTTGTTTTTCCTTTCACTCTTTCAGCCCCTAGCACTGGACATTGCCATTAGGGGGCACTAGATAAATGTTTGCTGAAACTCAACGCTGTATTTTCAGCTTTGTGTTGTGAACAAGGCCATTTTATTTAGCAGTGATCTCTGAGGTGCTGTCTCGGGTCCAACTCCCTTACCCAGCTAGCACCTCTAATTACATGTTCAATTGGTGTTTGTCAAGAACCAGCACATCCTTGCCCTTCCTCTCTGTTACCACTCAAGCTGCTGTATTCAGGGAGCTATTCTTAGATATTAATTTAAGTGAAATAATTGCAGTTTAGAAAAAGAAAAAAAACACTGACTAGAAGGTAGCATGAAAAAGTCCTAAGTTTGGTTTCTGAATCATTATGTAATTTGTTTCCCTATTTCTTAGGCATTAGAAGTATTTTGAACATGTATGTTAGGCTGACACTTTCACTGTGGGGGAATCCCAGAATAATTCCAGATGGACATATACAAGGAAACAGCTGTTGTCATTTTCATGTTAAATGCATGAAAAGAAATCCTTGGTTTACAGAATACAAATATTTATTAATCCATATGTGGTTCAGACTTCTTTGGATGGTGATAATATAACTGCGAACTAGGCAGATAAGATATCTACCTTCATGAGCGTGTATTCTAATGGGAACAATGAACAAATCCAATTTAATGTAACAAATACAATGCTATCATACATATAAATAATTTGAAGATATTGTAGGGGAGGAAGACATTTCCTTTACCCACTCTGGGTCCTTCTGGCCAGACAACGAATTAAATTCACATAAGACAGCATAACAAGAGAAAATTAAACAAAGCTTTATAACATGTATACATAGGAGAGGCTCTGGAAAACTGAGCAACTCCCCAAAATGGCAGGAGTTCTCATCTTAAATACCATCCTCAGCTAAAGACAAAGGAGGATGTTGGGGGTGGGGGAAGTCAGTTATGGGAGGTTACCAGAAAAGCACAGTAAACAAGGGTAAGGTTATTATGCAGTTTTAAGTCTTTGCCTTCTGCACTGATAAGAGTTTGTAAAGATAAGGTTGTACCCCCTTCTCCCGAGTACAGAGAGGAGACACCTTTACAGATGGAGATTTCCTTTACAAATGTAAATGTCTCTTACAATGGGTAACTTCTGCTGTTCAGAGTTTCTCTCATGTCTGCAATTTTTAAAAGTAACCAGCCCAAAATCATCCTCATGCCAAGGAGACATCTTGGGGTGGCCAATTCCAGTCCCCCACAATATTGATAGTAAAAATAAAACGTAATAGGGAGCAGAGTGACCAGGAATGGGGAAGGAGAGGGGGGAGTTGGTCACTTCTCTGAGCTCTGAAAGCTGAGAAGGAACCAGCCATTTGGGGACACATACATTGTCTCAACTTGTTCAAAGTCAATCTTAGAACAATGTCAACCAGAAAAGAAACAATTTTGGACCTCAACAACAATTAGAAATGCTTCTGAGTTTAAGGAAAAATAGCTTTCAGAATGTTAATGCACAGGAATTTCCCCAGGGAATCAATCGTATATAAAGTCGGTTCTACTATTATGTGACATATGTGTTCCTAAAAATCACCTCAATAAGCAAAACAACACCATAGAAACCACAAGACTCAGAAAAAAAATGGGACTGGGACACAACACACACAAACTTTCTCATGTCAGTGTGATGTGTAATGTCAGTGACACATTAAAAAAAGATACAAACTTGCCTTAGTCCATTCAGGCTGTTATAACACAGTATCAGAGACTGGGTGGCTTATATACAGCAGAAATTTATTTCTCAGAGTTCCGGAGGCCTAGAAGTTCAAGATCAAGATGCCAGCAGATTCCGTGGGCCTGTTTTCTGGTTCATAGACAGCACCTTCTCCCTGGGTCTTCACTTGGTGGAAAGGGCAAGGAATCTCTCTGGAGTCTTTTTTATGAGGGCACTCATCCCATTTATGGGGATTCTGCCCCCATGACCTATCACCTCCCAAAGGTCTCAGCTTCTAATACCATCACCTTGGACATGAGGTTTTCAGCATGTGAACTGGAGCAGAGGGTGGAATACAAACATTCAGACCATAGCAAAACCTAATAAAAATGGTAGCACAGTTTTACTCATGTTAAATGATTAGGAAATACATGAATAAAACACTTATCTTGAAAAAGACTTAAGGTTCACCAATAAAAGTGGATGTTGGAGTGCTTACAACTTGTGTTTTCTGTAAAGTAGTCGAAAGAAAGTTATGAGAAATCCAACAGAAAGTTGTACCACCAAATGGATGGTGTGGCTCATAAGACAGGAGGCAAATGAAGGTAGCTAGTAGATGTTTGAGAGATGTGTGTGTGTGTGTGTTCCATGTATTTTCCACAGCTGAATTCAGCTGAGTGTAGATTTCTGTGTTGACCTAGTTCTGTAGTTTTCTCATTGGCAAAATCACACGTAAGCAAACATAAAATTTGCATTATCCTCAAATTCTTCTCTCATACATCAGTCACATTAGAACACATTTACGTCTTCAAAAAAAACTTTTATAGCAGAACTGACAGCAATTCAAATGTTATTTTAAAAGTAATTTGGATATGCTGGTAGAAGGAAGAAGTCTAACTTGGCAGTGGAGGGAAAAGATAAAATAGTGCCAATCCTCACTAGCAGCAGCAGCCACCGCAGCCTGAGGATTTGGGTGTGGAGACTAGCAGCCTGCCCACTTCCACAGACCTTAGAGCATCACTCAGTTTCCACCAACCCCAACAACTAATCTTTAGAAATATGACTTTGGCCCAAAGAATGTTATATTGTGGTCAAAACTCTTTGTTAAAGAAGAAGATGATATGAAAAATAAATGTATAAGGTATTCCATGAAAAGCAAAACAGGTAAAACAAGCTTTGAAACATTTAAAAATAAGCTTAAGTTGTCTAGATAATAAAAACTCTATGAACAAGACTATGTAAAATATTTCAATATATGCATGTACAGATATCTTCATAAAATCTTCCTTCCAATTAAACATTAATAACAGTTGCAGATGCAGAAAAAGAATTCAGTAAACAGTATTTATGAACTAATTAGCAATAAATCATAATATATACCCATATAATAAAATAGAATGCTTCCATTAAAACTATTTTTATAAAGAATATTTAATGGCTCGAGAAAATTCTCATGTGATGTTAAGAGAAAGCAGAATTTAAGACTTTACGTAGTATGAAAGCAGTTTGTATGGAAAATATATAGGGACAGACTGAGGGATTGAAATACAGTAACACTGGTTATTTCTAATTTGTAAAATTCTGGATTTTTAAAATTCTCTTTCCTACCATTTTTGTATA